ATTCTGCCAGGAAGAATGGGCTAAAATCCCTCCTGAACAATGTGCAGGTCTGATCCATAGCTACAGGAAGCTCCTGGTTGAGGTTATTGCTGCCAAGGGGGGCGGTGTCAACCAGTTATTGATTCCAAGGGTTCACATACTTTTTCCACTAGCACTATGAGGTTTTTATGGTTGTTCTCAATAAAGACATGAAGGATCAGAATTGTTTTTGTGTTATTATTTTAGGTGCAAATTTGTCAATACTCTTGACTTAGATGACAGTCAGATCACATTTTATGACAAATTAATGCAGAACACCATGAAATTCCAAAAGGTTCACATACTTTTTCCACTAGCACTATGAGGTTTTTATGGTTGTTCTCAATAAAGACATGAAGGATCAGAATTGTTTTTGTGTTATTATTTTAGGTGCAAATTTGTCAATACTCTTGACTTAGATGACAGTCAGATCACATTTTATGACAAATTAATGCAGAATTTTAGGTGCAAATTTGTCAATACTCTTGACTTAGATGACAGTCAGATCACATTTTATGACAAATTAATGCAGAATTTTAGGTGCAAATTTGTCAATACTCTTGACTTAGATGACAGTCAGATCACATTTTATGACAAATTAATGCAGAACACCATGAAATTCCAAAAGGTTCACATACTTTTTCTTGCAACTGTGTGTGTGTGTATGTATGTATGTACACACACACACACACAATAGTATCAATTAGACTATAAATCTTCTGAAAGAGAAAATGCAAACTGAAGCTTCTTCTCTGGATAAGGATTTCCCATTCTCTCAGATGGATGCTGCACTGGGAGAATGGGAGTGAATGGCAAAGAGAGGGGGTGAGCATGGGTGAATGAATGTGGGTATTTAACATTCTAAATCCATAAAGCTTTATCATTGTTAGAGCTCAATGTTCTCACTATTTGTTGTAAGATCCTAGCTACCTCTTCACTGGAATTTTAGGGAAAAAATTAGAAAAAGTAGTTCTATTGAGTACTGCATATGTGATTTTTCAAAATAAATCCCCCTTTACCAGAGGTATGCAAAATGACTTCCTCCAAGAAGCCTAATTGCAGCCCCTTGTGGGCTGTTGATCAAAACAAATGGGAGGAGCTTGAGTGTGGGCTGAAAGGGGAGAGAAAGGAAAGTGACTGTAAATAAGTGGATTTTATAAAAGATAGGGCCAACTGAATTTTGGGAGAAAATTTTCTAACAAAGGCTAAGATTGAAACTTGAGATTAATAGAAGAGAATATATATAGCTCAGGGTTGAACTGTGGAGTCCTTGGGGTTCTCTGAGCT